GGGTCTGCGATGATTCCTTCTGCCCGTTACATACTTTTACACAAAACCATTATTACCTGATTTCCCATTTTCAATGGGTTCAGGGTATAAAAACAAATTTCGGAAGTCAAATATTAGATTACATTGTTCACAGCCTGAAGCAAAGAAACCCTTATCAAGCTGGTTAAGATAGTCCACTTGTCGGGGCGTATTTTTTGAAACACCTTTCCCCGAAGAAATTCTTTTGATTTCAGTTGATTTTATTAAATTCCTTTTCATGGCTTCTGAAAAGTCTGCTCACATACCTAATGAATGCTAGATATATATTTATGTAAATCAAGTGTTAACTCATATACATCGATAGTTTGATTGCAGCAGCTAATAGTTCCGCAAAGTAAGTATATAATCGATATTTATAGACATTTCCTTCAAGTGACAGCATTTAAGATTCACGGGGCTTCATCCTCTTGCTGTTGTTGTTGTTGTTGATTTGATTGTCATTTGATTGGCCATTCCCTAGTTGTAAGTAGATGTATAAAAATATATATTTTTTAATACTCACAGTCTTTCCACATCCGCTGATATTTTTCGCGGCACCTGCGTTAATCCACGATGCGAGCAGTCAACGGTTAATCCGCTGCATGAGCAAACCCGCGGACAGCGCGCCTCCGTGATGACACCCACTCCGCCGCCGGGTATGTGAATGCCCACGGAGCCCAATCCGCCGCTGGCGATGGCTGAGCTGCCGAAAACGCTCGAATACGGTTCAGCTCGGACCATGACAGCAGTTAGTATTAGCAGCAGTAGCAGGGGCCGGAGCATGGGCAGGGGTCGGGGCAGGGACTGGGACATGGGCAGGGGCAGGATTAGAGCCTTAGCTCTCGCCGCGATTGTCGCTGTGGCTTTACAACGCGTCGGTGGTTGCAGCGTTGACGGTGTCGTCGTCCTGGACGGCGGCGCCATTGTGGCACATTTATAAGCAACGTGCCTAATTGAAAGTATCGAGTGCGTATGCGGACGCCACTTTGTCAATAGCAATCACGTTTCCACAAATATTTGCGCAAGGCAAAAGGATTGTTGTCGTTTCCCTGCTTTTCACGTATTTATCTCTATATATATTTATACATATATATGTCGGTGTGTGTATGTATTTGATTTTTCACGACGGAGCATTGGTTTGATGCATTTCGTTGTTCGATATTCGTTTGACGGTTTCGTTGTTATTGTTATTGTTCCTCGGAGCGCTCCCGGCACTCACTCTATTTTATTTATTTCGATTTTTGCAGCCCGTCGCGACCGCGCTCTTCATCAGAACTGTGAGCAGCTGCCCAGTTGCAACGGCAATGGCAGCGGCGAGTGACGATTCGAGAGAGACGAGTAACGAGCGACGAGCGAACGCGTAGGTAGCCGGAGCCGTCCACTTAGCTAGGTAGGTGCGGTGCGGTGCGATGCGTCCAGCCGGAAATGCGCTGCGACTTGGTTGTTGTTGTTGTTGTTGTTGTTGGTTGCTTTGAGATACGCACGCACTGGCGCTGGCACTTGGCTGTCAGCAGTTCAGAGACGCCTCGTCGGCAACTTCATCATGAGGTCCGTTCGGCTGCGACCTGCTGCGCGCATCTGCAACGAAATAGTAACAGAGATAGAGAGACAATGAGAGCGAGAACGAGAACGAAAAGACGAGCGAGAGCATCGAGCTGAACGTCAGGAAAAATCATGAGAAATCATCTATAAATTCGGCAAGCGTGTCTATGTCAATGCAATGGCAGGAAATTGTTACGGACTGCGATATAAATACACGAACTAACACAGACAGACAAATATATATCTATATACATGCATACATATGTATGTCTATATCACGAATGCCGCACTTTATGTCACTTAAATAAAAAATAAAATTTAACTGAAACTAATTTGACAGCTTCTATTTGAGGGGCTGTACCTAAAGTTCTTAGCATTTGTTTGTTTTGTGGAAAACAATAAAAATTACAAAATACAAAAAAATTCATCTTTCATATTTGTAGTTGTTCTCCTTTTAATTTCAATTTCGACTGAAAACTCGCATTCGTCAGACATGAGCAACTATCATTTAGTTCCCATTTCATATCTACCTTTTGGTCTTAAGTCTGTCGATCATTGTTGAGGGTTAGTTTTTCCTCTCTTTTGTTTTTATCGAACCACCTGTCAGTAGCAGTAGCTGACAGCTCCAAAAGCAAGAAGACTAATCACCCTAGTCCTGGAGATATTATTATAGAATCTTGCACCGCCAACATATGTTTCCCTGAGTACCCGAAGAACCTATAGCTATAGCATGCAGACGACACACAGGAGGAAAACAAAATAATGACTCAACTGGCGGCCTCCATAATAAAAGAGAGAACATGTGTTTTGATAACTTTGCAACTATGCCCCAGCGTAATTACTCAGAATTAGAATGTATGCTGATTAGGCAATTCCGCAGTCATTCACTTAAGCAATTCTTTTGTTAATTAGATTCACATTCTTCTATGGAATTTTAAAAGCCTACGCTCAATCTTCAACTAACCTGAACTAGTTTCCCCTCATTTGAAGCTGGCTGTACAACATAAAATTAGATTTAAGACCTTAAGTGACTACTTTGGCTCAATTAAATCGGTGTCTAGAAATTGTATTTGCCGTCGTCGTCTTCTTCTAAGTAATGGTCCTCAATCTGTTAGTTTGTGAGCTCTTTCACTCAAAATCAGTCACAAACTCTACGCTCAACCGTTGCCCAAATCAGATCTATATTTAGTGCACTTGTGCACTGTGTGGTCTTGAAGCCCTCTCCCTCTGCCGATTTGCCAGCATCTCCATCACCATCTGCCTCTCCCTCTCCCTCGCCCCTTCGGTTCCAATACCATCTGTGTGCCATGCCTCCGAGTGTGGCACACTTCCCGCTGTCTCCTGTTTGTCTGTCATGTTATGTATTTAATTTGCAAATTGACATGTTAAATATACGCTCTGTCCCCTCTCTACCTCACTGTCTCTGTCTCGCTCTCTATGTCTCATCCCTGCATTCTCGATACCATATATAGATATTAATTGTTTAAATTAACATTCGGATGGCTGACAGCAGCGATTGACTTCAAATTTGATTGAGAATATGAATGATAACGAGACATAGCTCTAGCTCGAGTAATCACTAAGAGCCAAGGGAGGAATGGGGATGCTGAGGGGAGCCACCTGTCAAATATTCTTAACAGGCAATCAACGAAACTCAATGAACACTGCTTGGCAAATGTAATTTAACAAGCTTGGGAAAGTATTTATGTGCTCTCTACCAGACGATAATATGCGGGAGACTTGATTGACTTAAGAGGCATTCAAATAATTGAGATCTCTGCACAGAGTCTTTAATATCAGCGTTGCGAATAAATATCGTATCAACAACATAGTCTAGTGATTGCATGGAAATATAACATATAGAGTATATAGTGAGTTTACTGTAATAAGATTAATTGGATTTCGCATCGTCAAGTTGAGCTCTAAGCTTCGACTCAATCAAAGGGTGTTTAAGAGTTGAGCACATCAGCCCAAGGAGCACCTCCTGCTTTTGTGCTGAAACAAGTTGGATATTCGTATGGAGCTGCCTATCAAAGGCATGCCAAACACAAGCAGGCAGGCAGGCAGGCAAGCAAGCAGGCAGCCACCCACCATCCATCCATCCATCCATTCGAAGAGCCTTTAATCAAAAATTTATCATTTCTCTAGCACAAAAATATTTTTGCTGCAAAGGCATGCCTTTCTTCCTGTAACGATGATGATGTTGACAATGCTGATGATGATGATTATAAAGAGAGAACGGAAGTGTGGGGTAGAATGTTCAAAAGATGTAATCACTGCATTGTCACCAACCGGAGACGGGCCTCAGTCTCAAAACTCAGATTCAGCTTCTGTCATTTGGCCGAGAAAGATTGTGTGTGGGGTGTGTGTGTGTGTGTAGGCATGGAGGCAGCATTCAACTCTCTTGAGTTTCATATGAAAAACATAAATCAGTGAAATTCTATACATGCCAATGATTGTCTACTCTTTGGCTTCGGCACACACACAAAAATTCCAGCAGCAAAATTCAATGCATGCCAATAACTCGTTACTCGTGCCATAAACCAAAAGGCCAGAAAGCAAATGCCACTGTCCGGGAACTTGTATACAAGTCTAATGAAAAGACCACAGCTTTGTCTGGCGGGCAGGCGGACAGACGAGCTGGCGGAAGGCAACAGCTCAACCGAACCACAATCAGCACCACAATCCCGCCCATCTCCCACACTGGCTGTCCGGGTTTATTAAGATAACGCGTGAAAAAGCGAGTGACATTTGGGCAAACAGTGAAACGCACTATTCAAATAGTGCTGCTAAGGAGAGCCCTGGCTGGCGTTGGGTCTGGATTAATGAACATCAGCAACTAGGAATCGCCTTGAAACAATAGATTTATATGGAGCCACTGGCGCTCTTTACATCTCTATAGTTATGCCCACAATCTGTTGTTTGGCGAAATGGCTGGCCCCTCGGGCCACGGGCTCTTGTGGATTTTCCAATAAATTACGCTTAAGTATGCACTTAATTCAAATAATGCCAAGTTGCACGCCTTCATCTAGCAGGGGCCGGGGCCAAGAGGGCCACGGGAGCAGGGACTACTTGTCGTGTGCTGCCCTCAAGTGATTTGTTTTTGTGTGGCTTATACAAGCTGGGCCCCTCCATCCAGGAGAATAAGTGTGTGCCTGCGTGTGTGTATGTATTTACCATTGCTTATGACATGTGTCAAATTCGTATTCTGCTCCTATCAACTTGTCTGGCTCAGCTGTCCAGATAAGCGGCATCAGAGTCGGGGCTCAGGGTGAACTTCATGAATGTGTTGATATTTTTTATAAACACAGAGTCGAAGGGATTAAGCTGCAGTCAGCAGAGTGAAAAACTGCACGAGTTGTAGCCTTCATCAAGAACATTACGAGAAGAGCAATTGTCCGCAGGCCACAGGCAAACCAAAATAACATCCCCAAAGACCCAAAGACGGACCGTGGCTTTATCTTGCGTATAGGAGTATCAATCATAACTAGATTTAGTAGCACTTAAACAAATAATAAACAAAAGCAACAAAATTCACTTAAATATTGACAAGACAAACAAGATATAACAAAGTCAGAAGCCGATTGGTAAGTTCAGGAAACTACACAACAATTTCAACAAAACTGAGTCAATGCGTATTTAGACAAGCAAATGTATTTGGAGAGCAGCAGCCTCAATTCACTCAACTCGCTAAAGCAAAAACCACTTAAAATCGTGAAACAAAACAGTATCTCATTCACGATTTTCAATTGCATTCAATCTTTGATTATAATGGATATTTCATTTAAAACTGCATCTCAACAAAAACAATAATATGAGAATGAGTTGTTTAATGTTTATATATATATTTATATATATATATACAACCATATGTAGTTCTTAGATAGCTATTTATTGAAATTAAAAAATTAATCAGTTTACAATTTACACATTGCTGTCCATACTTCTATCTTTTATCTTATAAATCTATCTAAAGCATTTTTCCGTTTAAGTTGAATTTACTGAAAGGTCTATTAAGTATATTGATTTGAAGGCTAGCATAGCCATTCAGCTGGAACTGCTGCGAAGTATGACAATACTTAAGACTAATTAAAGGCCTTGCTTTTCCATGTAACATTATATCTATTCATCTGGACCACGTACAATGTCCAGCTGCATTTTTTCACTCGTGCTCTAGCATTTCCGCCGTCTCTTCCATCAGCATCCACAATGTGACACACTGTGAGTGTGTGCTCCCCCGCAACTCCTGCGAGTGCATTGCCAGTTAGCATTACAGATGATGCTTAAAAGGAAAGAAAAGGAAAGGAAAATAACCCCTTTTCTGTGTACTACGTTATATGCATGTTACGAGCATGAAGCGTGGTCAGCGCTCAATGAATTGTATTAAGGCAATGCCACTGATGGAGACGGAATGAGTAAGTGACAGACTGAGACTGAAAGTCCCAGCGTTTTTCTCTCTCTTCATTTTATTATTATTATTCGTAAGCCCATCTTCAGAGCCGGAAGTGTCGCATACTTTAACGGATACACCGGCTTAATTATGTGCATAACATACTACGTACACATAAGTATATAAGTATATTCCGATGTGTGTATGTCTGTAAATCCCTAGACAGTGTCGTGGCATGAAATGACAAAACACGTACATTAATTGCTCCACATTCATACATTCATACAGCTGGAGCCAGAGCTAGTCTGAGTTACGTTATAGAGCAATGAGTGTCCCCCAGGAGATGCTGGGTAAAAAGAAAGCCAGCGCTAAGGTCTCGACAAAGCCAACCAGGCTTATAATTTATTAATCTATGCATAGCATATACACACTTACACACACGCTCACACACCCATACACTTGCACAGCAACTGGGAGCTGCATAACAACAAAAACGACTACAAAAACAAATAATTCCATTTCATGCCGCTCAACTTTCTACGTCTCTGGCAATGCTGAATCCAGGTCCAGGTTCAGCTCCAGCTCCAGGTCCAGCGACAGCTCCAGCTACAGACACTACATGTCACTTTAATCTCTTAGAAGTGTCACTTTTGCAGCTCTTCAAG